ATCTTGTGGCCAAGGAATATTATGTAGGTACACATCATTAACAATATCCTAGAAACTATTTTTTCTCTGCCAAACCCTGAATTGAGCCAATCTTGGATCCTTTTTAGTTAAAAAGTTGACCAAAGCCGTTAGTGACCATATCAAAGCTATTTTTGTTGTTCCATATTTTCAACCAAACACCATGCATTTAAGCAACCCACTGCTTATCTCTCACAAGGATAAAAGCAATATGATTCTATATATTTACTAGAAATACAAATCCAAGCTCAATCACCCTCACAAAAATCTAACACTCTTAATCATGCAGGGCTCCTAACTCTCGTATTCAATTTGTTTTTGTATCTATACCCATTTAGTACATGTGGGCAACATCCTTTTTCACTAAAAAGTTTTAGCAAAAATCATCACCATCACCAAAACCTTTTGCTGGCAAGGCGTCAACCATGGTTGGATAAAAAAATGCACTCCACTTGAGATCATGAGATTCCATTTGAGTGACAAGAAATGAGAGGGTTAGGCATCTAACATTGAGCTTGTGAAAAGAGCATGCTTATTAACAAAACTTGGAGGCTAGCTCAAGATCTTGACTCCATAGTAGAAATAATCATCAATGCTAAGTACTAACCTAATGCTTCGTTTAGTACTGCACCTATATGTGTGCCAAATTTTTTCGCTTCTAAGCTGGTTTCCCCAGCGGGTGTGCTGGCGTGCGTTTGTATCATATGCTTATTTTGCTTTCTATAAAAGCGGGGTTTACCTCTGTAAAAAAAATATGTGTACCAAAATTGACCTTCTAGGTATCTATTTTTAAAATTAGAAATTATCTAGAGAGTAATGTCACTATTCAGCTTATCGAGGCAGACATAAATATATGAAAACAATTCAAAGTGTTCTTATCATTGATAGCACACGGGACATAAAGTTTATCCTGGTTCAGACAGAGGGTGCCCTACGTCTAATGTATGTGGTTTGTATTGCTTGTGCACCGTATGAGGAATAAGGCTGAGGAGTAGTAATTAGGAGGCTCTCTAACCGGGTAACCCACCTTATATAGTTCGAAGGAGTAGGGTTACAAAAAGATTCTTTCCTGATTAATTTACATATTGATTTTCTAGTCAACTATAACAAAATCCCAATTAATCAGAACATATGTATATATATGCCTTGTATACCAAGTCGGTGAAGTTCTCTTAGGTAGATATCAGACTCCAAATAGTCCGTCTCTGGCCCATCCTATGTCTAGAGAGCTGTTTTTGTCCTCCATGATGACACCAATGGGCCATGTAATCATCACCAACCATGGTGTCCTCCGTGGTGACAAGTGCATATGTTCATGAAAACTTGAAATTAGAGCAAACTTCATTTGGCATTGTCATATGGGGACTGTTCGTTTCGCTGAAAAAACAAACCGAAACACTGTTCCGGCTAATTTGTTGTGAGAGAAAAATACTGTTCCGACTGAAAAAACAAGCTGAAAAAGACGGATTATAAGAGAAGCGAACAGAGCCATGGTTCCCAATATTAAATTATATTTTGGATGCTATGGTCATCCTCATAGACTAAATTGTAGCTTTAAAATTTTATAGAAATGGTGAAAAATAAATAGATGTGTAGCATTCTGTCCTTGTTTTCCATTACGGTTTAATAACTTTTTTTTCTTCTTCTGTTGCAATATGCCGTATGTTTGCTACTGAGTAATAAAATCCGTAACGTATCAAATTAAAAAAATGTGGACAGTATTTTGGTGAGATAAATTAGGCCTTGTTTAGTTCCTTTTTCAAAGTTTACTCCATATCCCATCGAATGTTTGGACACATTCATAGAGTATTAAATATAGACTAAAAAATAACTAATTATACAGTTTGTGACTAATTTACGAGATGAATCTTTTAAGCCTAATTAGTCTATGATTGACAATGTGGTGCTCACATGTGCTAATGACGGATTAATTAGGCTTAATAAATTTATCTCGCAGATTACTGAGAGATTCTATAATTTGTATTTTTGTTAGTATCTCCATACAACATTTCCGTATAATATTTGATGTGACACCCTAAAATTGTAGACACTGGTTTAAAGGAGACCTCACAAGCTGGCCAATTCGCTGGCGGTCCAACCAATGTGCGTGCCGAGGATTCAAATCAAATAATAAATGCACGGACGTCGACAGGTCATATAGCCACACTCATGCTGCCAGGGCGGTCTTGCTGGCTGGCCGGCCGGCCGGCCGCCCCCGCCGACCCAGTTTGGCCACTGCATTTTGCAGCCACAGTCTTCCTCATGTGTCGGCGCCATCTGCCAATGCAGCCGCAGCAAACGTGCGATCTCTCTAGTCTGAACACCGAAACTTGAACATATGGTGATGCTGAATCGAGCAAAACTGCTATCCATCATGCACTCCAATCGGCTGGGCATGAGTGCCTGACCTATCACCAAACCTGCTCCGGGTTCATGTGACTCTCACCAAGGCCTCACATGAGCATGGACCAAGAACATGGCCTAGATTGTAGGGCACTCTGCACTCGCCCTAGGGCCTAACACCATTCCACTAGCGGCAGCAGCATCGTCAGGATCGCAATGTTAAAATTTTCTCTTCGTCAGAGACAAAAATAATAGCATCGGCATCATATTCCGGCCAGAGATTCTTCTGTTTGTTCATAATAAAATGCAGGTCGCATGACCTGGTCTTTAGAACAGGAGACACGTCGCTCATTTGCATGTCGCTGCTGCTGAGGGACCTCGGAAATAATTTGCCTGCTTTGTCTGCAGCGAGCGATGCAAATTTGTGTTTGGGTTAAATAATGATTGTATTTGGGAGGAGGTTAGCAGCATTTTAACACAGTAGGGTCTATATATTTGATCGGCTAAAGCATCTGCTAGTCTAATAATTAGCTACTAAAAAAAATACTTTGGTGGATCCAAATGGACACAGCTAAGGTTAGCTATCTCAACCTAGCTAATATATTGCAAAAAAGACACTTTTGTCCTCCCACCTATCGCTATTCACGTGCTCTCCCAATTAAAAATAAAAAGTAAAACTATTATAGACAAAATCACCTATGCATCTACTTTTTTAGCTGGTGGATCCAAACAATGAATTAGCCAAATAACTATTAGATACCAGTGGTTCCAAACAGGATCTAAGATGAATTGTTAGCTGGAGCTAAAAATTAGCAACTAGCTATATATAGTGCATATTTAATTGTTAGCTGGAGGTAATATTAATTGTTTGACTAAATATATGGAAAAAATGTGCCAACATCTATAACATTAAATTAGTTTCACTAAATTGTCCATGAAATATGTCATATATATAGTGCTTTTGTTTGAATTGCATATGCTTATATATTTTTATAAAATTTTGATCAAAGTTTTAGAAATTTAACTTAACACAAATGGTGACCTACTTGCATCAACCATTGCAGTTTTCTTTGTTAGCTTAAAAACAAATCAACACATAGTAGTATGCACATAATAATAGATGATTGGAAGTCTCATCACTTAGAGATCCAGCTCCAAGACATCCATGAGATAGATATATATCTATAACTCCAAGACATCCATGCATGTGTGAGATAGATATCTATAGCTTCAAGAAATATTGGATCTGGAATTATAGATATGTTGATCGGCATCTATATTATTTCATTTTATTTATTTAGACTAGATTTAGATACTTGAATTAATTTAATTTACCTATCTTGGATCTTAAAACCGAAGTTGTGTCAAACAGATCCTGTGAATTTCATGGAAATTATGTGCAGCACTCTCTGTCAACATTTATTTGCAATCCATCTTCACTATAATTTGTGCATGCATTATGGACTATTATTCTTTGGTCGTTTCAGTGTGACGTTTCCAGAACCGTGTTGCCTCAAGAAGCGAACGACCAGTTCAAAGCGTCGGTCCACGTCCACGGCAAGTAGAAGCTTTTCGTGTTTTTCAAAAGCAAAATATTTTCAGGTTGTGTGGCGCACATCCGAGGCATTGACAATGTGTGATTTTCCACGAGCTAAACGTGTCGTCTAGGAAGTCAATCCGTCTCGTTTACGTCCATACCTTTGCTAACCTCACACTTTGTCTACACACAGCGTGTGTAGAAATGGTCAAAATTATATCTCTTGTCTAGGATAATATAATACTCCCAAGATAAGGCTGATAATATATGCCTAGTGGTTGCATGAATTCTCCTGGTATTTTTTTTTTCAGGACGATTTTTTTTCGGAATTAAACGTGTGGATTTGGATTTGGTCGCCCAATACTTCGTCTGAAATTCTCAGTGGTCAATACTAGTAGGATTACAACAGTTGCTAAGACCAAAAAAAGAAAAAAAAACGCCTCTGGATCAGAATCAAAGATCCGCCTGCTGCTTGTAGAAGGTCACCGAGAATTGCATCCCAATCGGATAAACTTCACCAATAGTTGACCTTGAAAGCCGTCTAAAATTTCTTTTTTTTTTTTGGGAATCTAGCCGTCTAAAATTTCAGGAAGGCAATATTCAATGCTGGAACGTTTTTTTTTTTGTCGTCGATAATTCAATGCTGGAACGTTGAGTGTCCTACAATGCAAAGGCCCCCGCCGGGACGGGGTAGGTCTATCATCTATTGCCCTCGTCACTGACCCATGGGCCCCGCAGCGACACGGCCAAGAATGACCCCACATGGCTGGTCCGAACGGGGCCCGTTTAAACGCGCACGGCACCACCTCTCTCTCTCTCTCTCTCTCTCTCTTCGGGTCTTGTTGGCGTCACATGCTCTCTCCCTGCACTTTCTCCCCCGTGTCCCGTTGCTAAAAGCTTAAAGAGAGAAACCAAATCGGACAGTACTGTGCCGAAGCAGCGCGCGGGGTTGGGGGCGGGCGTACGCCGGCGGCGAGGCGAGATCCTGCGGTGGCGGGGGGATGGCGGCAGGGAGGCGGGGCCCGGCGGAGTGGTGGCGCTAGCGGAGGGCAGAGCTGTTGGGTGGGTGGTGGGGGTTTCGGGGTAGGTGAGTGGGAAGGACATGAAGGCGCTGCGGCGATCCAGCACCTCGTCGTCGCCGCCGTCGTCGTCCTCGCCGACGGCCGCGTCCTCCCCGCCGTCCTCTTCGTGGATCCACATCCGCTCGCTCCTCGTCGCCGCCGCGTCCTCGTCGTCCTCCTCCTCCTCCTCGTCCTCCTCCGCCGCGGCGGGGAGCGCGGTGGCTGTGGTGTCGGCTGCGGCGGCCGCCTCGTCCTCTTCCTCGCCGGCGTCGTCCTCGCCGCACTCGGATCGGTGGGTTTCTCCCTTCGGATTGGCGAAAGGCGCTGCCTTTAGGACTTGAAATGCCTCGTATTGGGTTCTTTTTACATGAGGTTCATTTGGCTACTGTTGATCTGGTTCTGTGGACCCTGCCCGAGCTTGCTGTGTTGTAATTAGTGGTCTGAATGCGACCTAGGTACTCAAATTAGAGTGTTTTATGTGCTCTGATATAATGATTTAGATTGGAGCATAGAGTAGAGGTGTACCGTGTACGTGGATTCATGGCTCAGTGCACTTCCACGCATGTGTGAATCCACTGTGCCATCAATCGGTTGCCAAGGCCATGAACTAGTAACTTCAGTATGTTTATTTTCAGTTTCAGTTGTGTTAGTGACATGATGCTTCCCTTATGTGTTTCTGAATATAATTAAGGTCTACGTGGCTTTACTTCTAGATCAGTGACACACTGACACCTCTAGGGAGTAAGATCACAGCTTATGAAGTCTTCTCAAGCGCTAGTCCATAATGTTAGACTTGCATGTCGTATCTGGTTGTTTATGGCTAACCTGTTTCAAGTTAGTTCATCCAGGGACAATAAGACCGTCATAAGCAGTGCCCAGTTATTTACAAGCAACCAGAGAAAGTTGTTTCTGTGTTTAGTTTAGTTGATAAGACTGTCAATTCTTTCTTTTTGTAACTCAATCTATTTCTTGTACATGCTGTATTAAGTTTAGTATTGTATGTTCAAATCTTGTTTAAGGTGTCATAACGAGGACTTCAGCTTTAGATAGACCAATGGATGCAGTATGTGCATCATGTAATACTGAAGCATGTTACTGTACATTTAATTTCTCAGTTGATATACCGACATTATTGTCGTTGATCTATCTGACTGGTTATACCATTTGCTGAATATATGCCCTATATGGTTACAGGGCTGGTATTAAATCTCCATGGTCCCGAAGGAAAAGAAAACGAGCACTTTCCCGTGAACAGTGGGAGAGTCTGTTTTCAGCAAATGGAAAGCTTCGTGATGGTGGAAAGAAGTTTCTCAAGAAAGTTCGCAGTGGTGTAAGTACAATGTTTATTCATTTTCCATCTATATCATCCAGATATAGGTTGCATCAGAGTTGGCTATCTATTGTATGTAGTAATACAGTCATGTTGATATCTCTTCTGTTATGGAAATGTTTGTATCTTAGAGTCCAACTGCATTACTGACATAAATGCCCCTCTTTTTTTGAACCAGGGCATTGAACCAAGCATTAGGGCTGAAGTTTGGCCCTTCCTACTAGGAGTGTGAGTTACTTGATCTCTTTTACCCATCCTGTAAATTTATAACTGCTGATTTTTTTGTGCAAGTTTAATATTACACTTATGCATGTCAATACTCAATACCTTCCAAAGCATCATGTTATTTATTTGATTAAGATATTGCCTCGTTAATTATTGGCCTAGTGTCAATTCCGTCGTTTTTTTTTGTCCTTCAAATTTGAATCCAGGGATTAATAACAGCTTTCTATAAATCGGTGTCAGTTCAGTTTTTATGAGCCTCAATGAATTACTGGTCAATACAGTATAAGTGGTACCTACTAATTGTTTTTAACTAGATCAATCTTGAACTCTGTATAAATAAATTTCAAGGTGATAATTACTAGTTTGTGTGGCAGGTTTTTCTTTTTAGAAACCCTAAACGTTTAAATCTGACAGTTAAATACTATCCTTTTTAGAAATATAACTTAAATAGAATGCTACTAAATGTATGCTTACAGCTCTCTCATGCGATGTTTCTGCTGTGCATGTGCACAGGCCACTGGTATTCGTACATATGACTTTGCCTACAGTGGTCGCTGCTACATCTACAACTCTTATCTTTGTCACTGGAAAGCTAGGAATTTTGTAGGTTTATTTCAGGAAGATGGCTTATTAAGGCTGTGTTTGGTTTAACTTCTGGAAACTGCTTCTGCTGCCAAAAAGCAGAAAGCCAACCAAACGAGTAAATCCAGAAGCTGCTTTCGTGTAGTTCAATTTTTGCAGCACCTTGAACCATGCCTTTTGCTTTCAACTTTCAGCTTTTCCAAATGGGTGGAAATAGATAGATGTTACAACTGTTTCAAGGGAGATAAAGAGATGGGGGTAGGTTTTATAATTATTTTAACCAAACAACCTACAACTTTTTCACAGCACATAAGTCACAGCAGCTTTTTCACAGCTCAGAGCAGCTTTTTTACAGCCCATAGCTAAACTAAACAGACCCTAAGTATTAACTACTAAACCAGAGTATAGGAGCATTCAGTTGTATTTATTTTCGGGAGAATCCCATATTACACCTCCAGAATTTTCTTGTTCATTTAGTTTACCACCTGCACTATGAACCCGCATAGTTTATGACCCTCAATTATCAAAACCGTCTACTTCAGCCCCTATCCCTGAAACCCCCGTGGTTTTTGGTGATCTGGTGGTGGTTTTTAGGGGTGGATATCGAGCCGGCTCGGCTCGGATCAGCTCAAGTTGGCTCATTGTCCTAACGAGCTGGCTCGGCTCGATTTGTTCACCAGCTCTTGCTGGCTCATTCAGCTCGCGAGCTCAACGACGATGGCATGTTAAACAAATCCCCAAAGCTCAGGTTGCACAATAATACACATCCAATAGTGAAATTGAACCATAACCGAACCAAAATCCAGAAGGAATAGAATATGAATCCTCAGATTCTAACACTAATCGAGAAAACAATCGAAGCCAAACATCCAAATGTGTCATAAATCAATGAAATCACTGAAGTAGAACACAAATCAGCTGGACAAAAATCGAATCATTCAATCCAAATGCAGGACTCCAACGTGCAGCGAGGTTGTGACACTAGGCTTCACCTCCTGCGCGCCAAGGAAGTGTATCCGCCCTCTAGTCTCCATGCTCGGCAGCTCTAGCTTGGACGACGGCGAGTAGGCAGCGGACGGTGCTTGCAAGCAGTCAAGCTAGCGGCTGGTGTGACGTTGGGAGGCGCTGGCTTGGATGCCGGCGCGTAGGCAGGCTGGTGCGATGATTGGGAGACGCTCAATGGGGATGGTTCAAGCTAGGTGGATGATTGGGATTTGGGAGGTGCTGGATGGGGATGGTTCGATGGAGTCCTGTGAGGGAGGGAGGGAGGGAGGCTTGCTAGACGCTAGTTAAGTAAAAAAGAGCACAAGTCTAGCACATGTAACATGTTCAAGCGTGAGAGAGCAGAGGGTATCTGGCTGTGTATATTTATGCTAGGCTTGTGTGGCTCGTGAGCTGGCTCGTTAACGTAAAAAGCTGAAATGCCAACTCGAGCTAGCTCATTATGTTAACGAGTCGAGCCGAGCCGAGCCGGTCACGAGTTGAGCGAGCTGGCGAGCCACGGGTATTTTGTCCAGCCCTAGTGGTTTTAACATGCAAGTACTCTGTCAGCTGTTCATTCATCAGTAGAAGTAACTAAAAAGTAACAAAACTATATGAACATGGTACTGTAGCATTAACTATGTAAAAGCCACTTCCAAGGTAATGAAAACCTTGGTGGATTCTGAACTACAGAGTTTGTAAACAGTTTTCTTATTTGAGGCTTGTAAAATGTAGGGTTGCATAGTGCATAAATGAGAAGAATATAAATGTTCAGGTGTGTAATGTGGACCTTTTCCTTCCCCCATTTTCCTTTTAGTTGATAACGAAATTCAGAACAAGCAATTAGTGTGCTCCCGTGCCTTGTCTGGAATATGAATAATCTCTCTTGTAGGAATGTGATTTTGCAAGATAGCTTTAGTTTATGGCCGCTGCTGAATGCTCTAACTATCAACACATCATACATTTAGTATTATCAGCACAGTATGGTGTCAAGCCTGTTCATATTTGCCCATTTACCTGAAAGTAAGGTTTTGTTTATGTGCTTACTATGTTGTGCTTGGTGAACTTCTGTTCATGGAGATTGAGCTTCTGTGTTTTATCTGCAGCTATGATCTGAATAGCTCTGAAGAGGAAAGGAACTCTGTCAAGATCAAGAAAAGGTAACATTCACCATTTTGAAGGCTTTTCTTTGGTGATAACTGGCACATGTTTATAGATCTGTTTGGGTACTTGGTTTATGCTGCAAGTGTTCATTCGGCTCAATGTACCATGTCCACATTTCCTATGAAACAAGAGTGCGAGACTAAGAAATATCATGTAGCACTTGAGCAGCATCCATTGACTTCTTAATCTCTTTAGTAAATTCAGAAGAGGTTGATATTGTAAGTTTGAAAGGAAATGGAACTAGGACATCCTATTGCCATTCATGTACTGTTTATTTCTTTATTTCTTATATGATCTGTTGGAAATTTTTAATTGTTATGATTTTGGTACAGGAAAGAGTATGAAAAGCTGAGGAGGCAGTGCCAACAAATTCTGAATGGGTACAAGGGAAATGGGTTGAAGGCAATAACTGAAGTTAATAACGAGGAGTGTTCTAGTTTAGAAGGTACTGCTGAAGGATCAGAATCACCTTGTTTTGAAGATGCCAATGCTATACCTGCTCCTGTTTCACTCGAGGAGCTGAAACCTGAACAGAATGAAGCTGACCAACCGGAGAGCATTCCCTGTGCTGTCGTTGAATGTATGGAAGAAGATGCAGATGAGTTAGCTTATGCATATCCATGCGTAGCAGAGTCAGAATCATCTGATTCTGAATCATCCGATGAGGATGACCCTGGAAGGATATCTGTGTCTGGCGAGGAGAACTGTGATCCAGATCCTAAATATACCAGGAGCACTTCATTCAAGGCAGATTTTTTTAGGTCTAGCAGAACCTCAGAGGACTTTGCCACATGGCAGCGCATTATAAGGTTGGATGCTATCCGGTCAAACAGTGAATGGATTTTGTTCTCTCGCAACCAAGCTGAAGTTCCCAAGGAGAGAGCATTGCAGTCTGCAGCATCTGTTGGGTTGAAAGATTATGATCACTTAGAGCCCAATATGATTTATCATGCTGCTCGATTAGTTGGGTTGCTTGAGGCATATGCGGTCTATGATCCAGAGATTGGCTACTGCCAAGGTATGAGTGATCTGTTATCACCTATCATTGCGGTGATGGAAGAGGATGATGAAGCGTTTTGGTGTTTTGTTGGTTTCATGAGGAAAGCAAGGCACAACTTCAGGCTCGATGAGGTTGGAATAAGAAGGCAGTTGAAGATTGTCTCTCAGATTATCAAGCGCAAAGATTCGCACCTGTATAGGCATCTGCAGAAGCTGCAGGCTGAGGACTGTTTCTTTGTGTACAGAATGGTGGTAGTGCTCTTCAGGAGAGAGCTCACTTTTGAGCAAACTGTGTGCCTGTGGGAGGTTATGTGGGCTGACCAGGCAGCTATACGAGCCGGGATCGGGAGGTCCACCTGGGGAAGGATAAGACTGCGTGCTCCTCCAACTGACGACTTGTTACTTTATGCCATTGCCGCTTGTGTCCTGCAGAGGAGGAAGCTAATAATTGAGAAGTATAGTAGCATGGACGAGATATTGCGAGAGTGCAACAGCATGGCTGGGCAGCTCGACGTCTGGAGGCTGCTAGATGATGCACATGACCTTGTTGTTAACCTTCATGATAAAATCTGATCTGGTGGTGAGTGTTGTTCTTCGCTCTAATGGCGGAACAGGTGTAAGCCTCAACAGAAGAAGAAAAAAAGGTGGTTCCTTTACCACCTACTGAAAGTATTCTATTATCTGCTAATCGTTCCCAGCACAGAACCAACTTCTAGGTATAGAGAATGTTGTAACTTAGAGTGAGGACTCGAGTGTCCTCGCAAAGAAAAGGTTGAAAGATTGTTTGGTGTTAGTGAGGCACTGTAAACTGTTCGTTGTTTAACTTGTTATAGGCAAAAACAGAGTTTCCTGGGATGGCACTTCATCAATTTTATGCATCCGCGCTCAAGTTAACTAATTGAAATGTGCAAGGTAGTATGGTTTCTCAATGTAAGAATCTGTTTCTCATGTGTTTGGCTGGTGTTAAATTGTCACCACCAGATCCTGCCACCAATTTCGTTGTGCAATTGCCAGGAAACATTGCTGAAATTCCTTCACCAAACTGAATAAGTGCTGAATTTGATTAATACTTCATTTCAAATTATAAGTCATTTTGGCTTTTTTAGATACTTTTTATTATGTATCTAAATATAGCTTATACATATCTATATGTATAGCAAAAGTAATATGTCTAGAACGATTTATAATTTGAAACGGAGATAGCAAGTTTTTTTTAAGAGCTAGTTATGCTTGCTGCAGCAGCAAGCTGTCTCAGCGAACACTGTTCATTCATTGAAGAATTGTACAAAAAAAAGTAGAAGCGAACAAGCCATCACGTAGGCTGAAACACCTTCACAAACAAACCTCAGGAAAACTCTCCCTTACCACATTGCCCCAACTCACTCTCAAAATAATTGATATTTTGGCTATGAACTCTCAAAATAGTTGATATTTTAGTTATGAATCTAAACAATAACTAAAGTATCAACTATTTTGAAACAGAGGCAGTATGTGCCTAGATGCATTTTGTTCCTAGCCTAGCAATCATCTTGTTCAGGTCTGAAGATCAAAGAGTCCAGATGCATTTTGTTCCTAGCCTACCAGTACTACCAAAACGGCTTCCGTTTGATCTGCTTTTTTGGGTACCAACTGATCAAAGAGTCTAGGTGCATTTTGTTCCTAGCCTACCAGTACTACCAAAAGGGCTTCTGTTTGATCTGCTTTTTGGGTACCAACTTGCGGGATGTGGATCATACCCAGAATGACAAGGCGAGCAACACATCAATCTGATCTGATGGTACGATGAAGGGAAATTCAGATTCTTATGTGATCTTGCCTGGTACGGCTCGGCAGATGGCACTATGGCAGTATGGCGCCATCCGCCATGGCGCTTCTACAAAAGTTTCCATAGCCCATAGGGTATTGTAGCTTCTATTGTCGGATTCGTGTTCGGAATGCTGGGAAGCTTGGCTCTTGTTTCATTAGCTTGCAAAAAATACCACGCTATTTCGAATTTCAATTAATCATACGACTTTGAAAAAAAAAGAGCTGGCTAAGTTATATCTAAAGACTAAACCGTGCAGCTCCCAATATAGGCCCGTAGAAATGAACCTTTGTAAGTTCAGACAACTGGTTTCTATATTCCTACGTCTTTTTTTTTCTCTAAAATTAAACTGATTTCTATAAAAAACATTCTCCAATTTGTATAAAATTCCTGCAATCCCAAAGGCCTTCGGCTCACGACTGCCCTAGCGCCGCCGCACCGCCGCCGCCGCTCCTGCCTATCATCACCGCTGGTCCCCCTCTTTTCCCCCTCCGGCATCTCGTCAGAGGCCGGAGGGAGTGGTGATCCATCGTTTTTAATAAGTTTTCTAGTAGATCGAGTCCTTAGTGTTAGAGTCTCTCCAAGCCAAGTTTATTGATTTTGGGATCTATCTCCTCTCCGGCGACGGCGAGAGACAGGGTAAAATCGTTTTATCCATGACGGCTCTGTTCAAGACGAGGGCCACAACTACGGCGTTAGTAACTTCATCAGCATGACGATAGAAACTTTTCTTTCCGGATGGCGATATTAAGGCGGAGATGATGTCGCCGCCATGGAATAATTTTCTCCGGTCTCTTCTCCATTTTATTATGGTTAGATCCTTCCACGATGAAGGACTAGGGAGAATAAGTTTCGGATCAGTCTTTCTCATTCTTCGGTGGCAGAAAGAAGAAGGAAGACACGTGAAAGAAGTTTCTCAACACCGTCTACAGGAATGTTGGCCGTCGTTCGTTGGGTATCCGTCCTCATGTCTTTTGCCAAATGTTTGCTTGTGCGGTCATTCATACGAAGCGTTATACATGTTTGGTTTTGAGATCTAGAACTATTTACAGTGTTGGTAAAATTTAAATGAAAATCAGTGTATCCGTCGGAAAAAAAGAGGGTCCAGCTTCCAACATTTCTTCAGCTCTCGCTCCGTCAGTACGTCCTGATCAGCAAAAGAATGTTGCCGCAGGCGGCGCAACGGATCGACAGCCACCACGCTAGCCAGGGTTCGGCATCCGCGGAACTCAACTCCAAGGGCCTGTTCGCTGGTTGGTACTGATACTGGTTTGAGCTGGTTGGTGTTAATTTTTTTGAGAAAAAAACACTGTTGGCTGACTGATTTAAGCTGGCTGAAACTAACGAGCGAACCGGCTGCAAACCATTTGGAGGAAGCGGCCTGCGGGTGACGACGGCGACGGCGACGCCAGGCAGCCAGCCCGACAAGACGCCGTGCGCCATGTCCGGACGCCCTGCAGGTGGACTGTGCGACAGAGCGCTGAGCAGTGACAGTGAACATACTACTGCGACTGCCAGTGCCACAATGGGTTGGAGATCACGATTCTTCAGGAACGTCGATTGTTCCGTGCGTTGTCAGATCAAATGATTGACGGGACGACACCTTTTGTCTGGCCGGACGGCGGGCATGATGCCACTTGCAGATATCTTCTGTACTGCCTGTCGGTTGATCTAATGATCTCTGCTGCAACTTGCAGAGTGGCTATACTCCAGTCTCCAGATGCAAATGCAGCATGCAGCTGAGAACAAAGCAGAAGAGTTTACCAGAGGTTCATTAACTATGAAAATAGATTTTTAATTTCATAAACTTTATATGACGTATCAATTAGGTCCATATATCTTCGCGTGGACTTCTCATGCTGACGTGGCTCGCTGACTTGTCCATCTAAAGCAGCTCTAGATAATGCATTTCGTCAAACAGGTCGTGGGCGAGCGCCACTGCCTTCGGTGCCGACACCGGATCACCACGCCTGCGATCAGGGCGCTAGCCATGACGGTGCCGGGTGAGGCCAGCGCGGCGTGCCAGGTGCGCCATGTGCGGGCGGAGCGAGCACAGCATGAGCGCCACGAAGGCGGCCTCCGACGCGAGGATGTAGACCGAGAGCGCGGCGCCGATGAACACGCAGAGCTAGAGGAAGGCTGCGCGGCAAGGAGCCGGCGGCGAGACGACAAGCTCCAGCAGCGGCACGAAAGACGGCGCGGGCGTACCAGTACTACGAGGTGCCGCGCCTCGCCATGGACGGCGCGGAGAACCTGCTGTTCGCCTGTTCCGGAAGGCGGCGGCGTACGTCGCGTCGCTACCGTGGCTTGAGGACGCGGACACCGCCTGCGTGCTCTCGTCGGCCGCCAAGAGCAATGACTTCGCGCTGCAGCTGGGGCCGGGGCACACCGTGTGGGACGCATTCCTCGGCAGCCTGGAACTTGAGCCAGTCACAGAGGGAGATATGGTGATGCAGTGCCTGGACACCATATGCAGCAGCAGCACTGGTGTCGTCAAGACATTCGAGAGCGCGTTGTACGAGTCTCATGACTACTCGCGACTACAACGAGCCCCTCCAAGTGCGGCACCGTGGTCCTTCAACCGGTCCAGCATCGCCGAGTTCGTAGCCACGTTCATCTTCCTCTACGTGTCCGTATGTGGCTCCGTGCTCACGGTGATGGGCATCAGCAAGTCCCCCTCCAAGTGTGGCACCGTGGGCATCCAGCAGGGCATCACATGAGCGTTCGGCCGGTGGCATGATCTCCGCGAGGACGATGGGCACGTCAACCGCGCGTGTCCGCCGAGGGCCGCGGCGAGCCTCCCACGCACGTCTGCTGGCGCCCACGGCCACACGCCCACGGCGTGGAAGTCGAGCTCGAGGCCAACCAGGAGCAGGAAGAGCAGCAGGCTGAGGCCGGACACAGTGTCGAGCGCCGCGGTACCTACTCTGCCTGCTCGTCACGCCCACAACATGTTTAACGAAATGCATTGCCCAGAGATGCTTTACGTAGACAAATCAGCAAGCCATGTCAGTATGAGAAGTTCATGAGGAGGCATATGGACCGAAGTGATACAACATACCAAATTTATGGACAAAAAATCCTCTTTCATATTTAATGGATCTAAGTGAAACCTTATCATAAGTTAATGGATCTCTGGTGCATTTAACTCAAAAAACCATGGGCACGAGTGAGCCAGATGTATAGTGATTTGTTCGTGCATGGAAACCTAAACTCGTAGGATGACCTCACAGAGTCATGTATCTTCTCGTGACTACGGCATAACCCTGAGTCATGTATCCACTCGTTGCAGCTACTTTGGCTGTGGCTGCGGCCGTTTGATGCACTAGCTACGGGTAGCAGTTTTTTTACTGTAGCAGCAGCCTAAAAATCTGCAGCGAGCAGGGCTTTTTATTCTATTCATCGAACAAAGACATATAACTTCTACGCAAATGTATAAGTGCGGTCACAATAAACACGTATGACTGCTTCTACTTTTTAAGTATAAATGAGGATTGTGGGAATAAACACAGCTAAAATAAACTATAGAAACTTACACACTGTTGGAAAACTGGGTTTCTGGCTGGGATTGAGGAACATGGTCTTCGCTTGGGCAGAGGCCCCGGTCAAAGACAACTATATTGGTGGGACTGGATACAATTAGGGTTTTATAAATGTATTCACCAACCTCCTTACACAGGGTGTGGTTCCTCCTTTTATAGGACACTGTTTGTAACCATGCTACTTTACATTTCTACCCCATGACAGCTAAGGTATATCCTTGGAATAT